GGTTCATGAATTGGAAGGCATGATGCTGTTAAGATGGCAATATTACCCAAATTGATCTACAGATTCAACATTATCCCTATCAAAATCCCAGCTGGCTTCTTTGCAGAAATTGAAAGCTGACGCTAAATTTCATATGGAAAGGCAAGGGACCCAAAATAGCCAAAACAACCTTGAAAAAGAATAACAAGTTTGGGAGACTCACACTTCCCAATTTAAAACTTACCATGAAGCAATAATAAACACAATAGTGTAGTCGGGCATAGGCCAGACATATAGATATATGGAATAGAATTTAGCACCCAGAAATAAACCCTTACATTTATGGTAGACTGATTTTAAACAAGGGTGCTGAAAACATTCAATGGGGAAAAATAATTTTTTCAAAACGTGGTACTTGGGCAACTGGATATTCACACAAAAGAATCAAACTGGACCCCTATCTCGCACCATAATCAAAAATTAACTCAAAACAGCTGATTGACCCAAATGTAAGGGCTAAAATGACAAAACGCTTAGAGGGAAACAAAGAGGTAAATTTTTGTGGCCTTAGATTAGGCAACGATTAAAAAAATAGATAAACTGAACTTCATCAAAATTAAAAACACTTGTGCTTCAAAAGATGCCATCTAGGAAGTGAAAAGAAAACATATGGATTGGGAGAAAATATTTGCAAATCATATATCTGATAAGAGATTTTTACCAGAATACATAAAGAACTCTTACAGCTCAAAAATTAAACGACAAACAACACAAAAACGGGGCAAAGAATTTAAAGAGACATTTCTCCAAAGATATACAAATGACCAGTAAGCACATGAAACGAAGGTCAACATCTTAGTCATTAGGGAAAGTAAATCAAACCCACAATGAGATATCACTTCATACCTAACAGGATGGCTAAAATAAAAAAGACACACAATAACAAGTATTAGCAAGAATGTGGAGACATTGGCGCTCTCATACTTTGCTCAAAGGAATGCAAAATGGTGCAGCTACTTTGGCAGTTCTCCAGAAGTTTAACTATAGAGCTACCATATGACCCTGAAATTCCACTCCTAGGTACATACACAAGAGAACTGGAAAAATATATTCACACAAAAACTTGTTCAGGAATGTACACAGCAGCATTAATCATAATAGCCACAAAGTTGCAACAACTCAAATGTCTTTCAACTTATGACTAGATAAGTAAACGTGATATATCCACACAACAGACTAATGCTCAGCAATAAAAAGGAATGGAGTACTGATACATGTGACAACATGGATAAACCTTGAAAACATTACCCAAAGTGAAAGAAGCCAGTCACAAAAGGCCACATCTTGTATGATTCCATTTATATGAAATGTTCAGAATTGGCACATCCATAGAGACAGAAAGTAGAGTAGTGGTTGCCAGGCTAGGTAGGGGTGGGTTAATGAGAAGTGACTACTAATGGGTATAGGGTTTCTTTTGGGAGCCATGAAAATGTTCTGAAATTAGATAGTGGTAATGGTTACAAAACTCTGTGAATATGCTAAAGATCACTGAACTGTATATTTAAAAGACAATTTTATGCTATATGATTACATCTCAATAAAGCTATTATAAAAAGCTCAATTTGGGGCATTCTTCTATAAGAGTCCTGAGTAACCAGCCTCTACTTGAATACTTGTAATGATAACACTCTCTCATCTACATAGGGTAGACTGCTCCATTTTTGGACAGTTCTTTTGAAAATTGTTTTCCTAACCATTAAATTCCCCACCATTAAATTCCCCACCATCTACCACAGTACCCCGTACATCAGAAGGGCTCCTATAGTAGAATAAAATGCTGGATCAACATTTCATAGTGATATTTTTAAATGAAAAAAGTAACATGAGAGTATATTATGTAACAGAGCTTCTATCATAATCCCATTTAAGTAACTAAAAATGTGCAAATTATATATACCTAACATATATTTAATATAGAGGATATGTATCATATATAATCTTTCATATGTATAGAATATTTCTTGATGGATATTTAAAAATCTTTAAGTAGTTACTTCTGAAGAGTCTTAGGGAAAGGGAGGTTGCAATAAGACCTTTATTTTTCAACTATAACCTTCAGTACTGGTTTAATTTTTTTTTACCATAAGCAAATATTATAATAGAATTTTAAACAACTTAAATTTTAGGAAAAAAATTTATTTTTGATTTGGGTGGTAATCCCTGATATTCCAGTTCACTATCTGTGACTTGGGCCCTTATCAGTGCAAACTCCCTGAGAAAAGACCCACTCTGTTCTGTAGCTAATGCTCTGTAGGCCAGGCTCTAAACAGGCGGTTGGAAAGGGAATCTGAGGTTCCACTGACAGCCGTCTGCCGACTGTAATTGTCACTGAAAACCAGAAAGTCTGCCTCCATGTTGCAAGCACCATTTTTCCCTTACCTGAATCCTGTGCAAAGAAACCAAGGGCTCCCTCGGGCAAACCCCCTCATTCTCCATCTGAATCTCCTCTCTGGCAGCCAAGTCAGCCAAGTCAGTGTGCAGCCTGCAGCTCAGGGCTGTAAGCTAGTGGACTAAATAAATAATTTACTAACTACTTGGCTGCCCACACAAACATGTATGTCTCCCTGTTCTATGCCAGACACGAGGTCTGCCCAGATGGAGTTTATAGTTACTACATCAAGACCTTCTGAAGCTACTGCAGAGTCTTTCAAAACCCCAAAAAGTTTAGGTCTTTGATCTTGAAGCCCCACATCTTTAAGAATCTGCCTCCAAACTTCAAGACTCTCTGGAGGAATTCTTATACTAATAGGGCTATTGCCGGTGTCAGCATAGCATAGCTGGCTGGTCCTAGGCCTAACATTTTAGAACTAGAAGGCACCTCATTCAATTTAACCTTATAAATGGGGCAACCAAGAGACTTCTTTAAGGACATGTTATTAGCTCATGGCAGGCTCAGGTTTCCTGACTCCTAATCCAGTTTTGGCCACTCCTCTCCCTCTCTGCGGCCTGTGACTTCCTCCAGACACTTCTTGGAGCAAGCGCAGCCCCACTCCTTCTCTCCTATCACTCCCATCACCTAAGAAGTCCAGCGGTCCTTCACACTGCCTTAAGAAAGGCCTCTGCACTCTGTGTTGAGAGCATCCAGGGCTTACTCTTTGGTTTCCCCCTTAGGATTTCAGTGGGTTTTGACGACTGGAGGTGGGAGGAAGGCTGTGAACAAAGGATGGCAGTTGGGTAGGTGGGCTGGACAGTGATTAATCAGAGACTGAACTTGTACACAGGGAGGGGTGGCAATAAACCTGACACATGTTTGCCCCCCATACTCCAGTTCCTTAAAAGTCAGCTTTCCCAAAGCCCATTCTCACTATGCCTCACCATGAATATATGACTATTTCACCTCTAAGGTTAATTCAAGCATACCTTCTGGATCTGCTCCAAAACCATACAAACTCCTAGGGTGTTCTGAATAGAAGCATGGTACGGCTGGGGCCCAACTTCCTGTCCCCTCACAGGCTGCAAGGATCCAAAACTCCCTTCCTGGGACTAAAGCAATGGGATATTTGGAGGATGCCTGATTCTTATAAGAGAGGGACGAGATGAGGGAGAGGGAGACAGAATGCGAGAGAGAAAGAGAAAGAGAGAATTCGTTATCTGATTATTAGTGATCTGACGGACCAGGTGCCCAAGTTACCACGTTGCCTAGAAAAGCAAAAATTGTCATTTAAATAGCTTCTCCTCAATCACCTCTCTCTGCTCAACACTAGCAATTATCCCTGCTCTAGCAGTCAGTCATAATTATGAATACAATGTTACAATGCTAATCTGTCACAAAGTGAAATTAAATATCTTGCAAACCATGTAGAATTTAATGGAATCAATTAAAGGCTTGTTAGAAAGCAGAACTGCAGGCCATGTCACTGGCAAATGAGGATCAGGTAGATTTGACCAGTAAAAGATAGAAAAGGGAAAATCAGCAAAAGATGGAAGGATAATCCACTTGAGAATAATTTAAATATCAAAGGGTGAAAAAAAAGGCTTGGATAAAAAGTTAAGTTTTGGGATATTTTTGCAAAAATGAGTCTTTCTAAGAGAGTGCTAAAAGTCAATCACAAAACAAAGGAGGTTTAATTGTGCTATTATACAGTTCTGTCAACACAATTAAGCTGAAAAGTTAACAGTTCTTTTGTTGTGTATTTATTCTACAACTTAGTGCATAGTTGCGATGACAACCTAAGCTTCTTAACTAAATAGTGAAAATAAACTTAGTTTCATCCTTTCCAGTTTCATTTTATTTATTTATTTTTGCAATACACGGGACTCTCACTGTTGTGGCCTCTCCCACTGCAGAGCACAGGCTCTGGACGCGCAGGCCCAGTGGCCACGGCTCACGGGCCCAGCCGCTCCGCGGCATGTGGGATCCTCCCGGACCGGGGCACAAACCCGCGTCCCCCTGCATCGGCAGGCGGACTGTCAACCACTGCACCACCAGGGAAGCCCTCCAGTTTCATTTTAAAGGTAAGTTTCCAATCAAAAATTTTTACTGTGAAATTTTGCACCCCTGTTTTCTGTGCATTTATTTACGTTGGTCCTTTCTCTAATACCAACTTCCTCAGGTAACGAAGACCTCCTGAGGGTTCCACAGTCCTCAGTGTAACTGCCACCTCTCTGAATTATGCACCCTCAGCCACATTCACTTGATAGGTTGTTACAGAAACACACAGGTAATTGTAACATAACCAACATGTCTGAGCCCTGTCTACCAGGCACTGTTCCAAGTACCCCATGTGCATTAACTGGTGAGGAAGCAGAGGCACAGAGAAGTGTAAAAACTTGCCCCAAGTCACACAGCTAGTAAGTGATGGATGGCACTGAGTCTGCCATGTGGCTGCAGAGACCACGTTCTTTTCCACGATGCCATAAACATATCACGTGCATTTGGACTTGACTTCGTGAGGGAAAGAATACTGATTCTCCTTAAGGAAGAAAAGATGTTCTAGAATTATTCCTGAGCTTGGACTCACCTGGCCGTATTTAGGTTCCGATAGAGCTGCCCAAGGGACTCCAGCAGCCTCCCCTCCATCTCCCGGTCCCTGAGTTGCTGAGCCAGGGCCAGCCAGTGCTCGTGGTAGGTGATACATGCCTCGGGGCTTGGGGACACAGAGCTGTAGAAATGGCAGAGGGTTTTGGTGACCTGAAGCTGACCTGAACGTAAAGCAGGAACACGGATGAGATGACTGGAGATAGGACAAAGGAAAAAGTGTCTTCTAACACTTATCTCTAAAGCATCCCAGCAGCACGGGATATACTCACTCTTCAGGTGTTGATGCCTTAATCCAAACAGCAATGCCATTTCGTAACAAAAGCGGCCACTGGCCAGCTGGCGTCGGTACACCTCAACTTGGGCCAACCAGAGAAGCACCTGTACTAATTCCATGTCTGTCTCCATGCTGGCCTGGAGTTTAGAATAGAGCTGCACCGCCTGCAGAAGATAGTCCCTGGCTGGCTGCTGAGTCCAGGATTTAAGGGTCAGATGGCCAAGATTGGCCAAAGCCACCGCCTGGTTGCGCACATCCCTTGCCTCCTGAGCTCTGTTCAAGGCCCAAAGATAGCTGTTGGCTGCCCTGTTCACCCGGCCTTCACCTTGAAGTGCGAGTCCCAGGAGGTTATGGACCACTCCCTTTCGGGTAACACTCTCTGTCTCCTTCAGGGAGTATAAGAGTGGCTCAAGGATGTCCAAAGCCTTCTTTGCCTGGCTGGCTAAGAGATAGGCCCATGCCAAGCAGAGGGAAGACTCAAAAGCTTCCTGCTCACTCAGCAGCTGGCCTAGCATCAAGGCTTGGCTCAGGTAGTGGATGGCACCATCAGGAGACCTATGTTGGAGGTACACTTTGGACAGGATGAGACACAGGGTCCTCTGGGTGCTCTGATCCACCTGCTCCTCACAGGCACCCAGTGCCTGCCTGAGTGCTGGGCACGCCAGGGCAGAGACTTCACCCCAGCTTGGGGAGGGGATGCCAAGGAGCTTGGTGGTGTTCTGGAGGACCAGGTGGACCTGCCAAATTGGAAGGGCCATCGCTGGGGTGCTCTGAGTACCACGTTGCCGGACAGAAGCCACCGCAAGGTGTGGCAGGTATTTCTTGTCATAGAGAAAACTCAAGATAGTGGCTGCAGCATCCAAGGTGGGAGGGTGTCCAGCGAGGAGCTGCAGGCGCTCAGCGAAGGGCAGGACCTCATCGTGCCGGCCGAGGATTAGGAGCAATCGGACGGCCAGGAAGCAGGCTCTGGCCTCCAGGGGGCAGCTGCCCGACACGATGCCCTGTCTCAGCACATAGGCCACCACATCCAGCTCACTCTTGGCACTATACTCCCGGTCAGGCAGGCAGACCAACATGGCACCTGCCTTTTCCAACAGGCCCGAGCCTTTATGCCTCAGCCTCTGCCTCAGGTAGATGGCCGCCAAATTGATGTACAGGGCAGCCGCCAAGGATAGGTCCTTAAATGCCCCGTTGAGAATGTGGATGGCCTCCTCAAAGTACACCCTGGCCTGAGAGAGTTTGACCTTCCTAACACTTAGCCGGCCCAGGAGGAAGCAGAGCCGGGCATGGGCCCAGGTCATGTGGCTCCGCTTGGCCCACTTCCTCGAGGCCTCCAGGTAGGCCACGAGCTCATCCTCCTCAGAGTAGCTGTAGAAGGAAGTCGTGAGGAAAGAGAAGGAAAAATCATAGAGGCTCTTAAAGTGGTCAGCATAACCCTCGTGATCCAGAAAAGCCAATATGGGGGTGAAGTTCTCAGCCTCCTCCTCCTCCTGACCGGTGTTCAGGTCCATGAGCAGCTCTGGGTCATCGAGGTCATCAGGCTCTGGCAGGTGGTAGGTGTCTGAGGCGGCTGAAAGGAGCTCCTCCTCCAGGCTGGAGTCCTCGGAGCTGCTGGACTGTCTGGAGCCCACGGCCTGATGCTCCTCCCAGGCTCCACCAGGCCGGGTCTCCTTGAAGCCTTCGGGCTGGGACGCTGTAAGGGACAGGCAGAATTGAGCAACTCTAAGTACCTGCAACTATGGTGGCCAGCTCTTGGCAAGAGGACAGGATGCTATCCTGCAGGACTGGAGGTCAGGTTCAGCATGATCTCTACTCACCGCTCAGATCGTTTGGAAGGCTCTGGATGGATTCAAACCCACCTGGATAGAGATGAAGGACGAACCTATGTTAGGTCAGAATGGCCCAGTATGCTTATGCCTACAGGTGCTCCCTGACCAGTGGCCCCCTAGGACACTTTGTGTTTCAGTTTCAGACCATCTGCCATCCCTAAGGTACTAGGCAGCATCTTCCCTTCACCATCAATGCTGCAGGGACCTGAAGATCATCTTGTTTAACCCACTCACCTTACAGTTGGGAACTGAGGTAGAAACGAGAACAGAGTCAGAGAAGAAAAGCCAGAAACATGAGCTCTATGACAAGAGGTGTGGGTATGGGTGGCGGGGCAGGGGGTGGAATCTGAAGGCCCAAATGTCTCAGCAAGTTTATGACAAAGCCATGAACAGAACTCCAAGGGCAGCGCACTCTGTGGCACATGGCACTGTCTCCCATTTATGTGTGTACAGCCTTCCTTCTCCCTTCCTCCATTCATTCATCACCCATCCACTCAACAGACAGACTCAGTGTGCACAATGTGCTTTGTAAATTTGACAGCATGAGGCGACCAAATGTAAATAATGAAGAAAGGAAGGTAAAGAAGCATCTACAGTTCCTAAGTTTTGTTCCCTGAAGTACTTTGGTGGGATGAGGTGGGAGAAGGGACGGTCTCGAGCAGTTTTAGACGTTTTGAGTTTGCGGTACTTGCAGGAGTTCTAGCAGAGAATGAAACAGATCTGCAGCCAAGGAGAAAAGTGGAGACTTGCAAATATGGATTTGTGACTGACAACAGGTCACACAGAGTGGGTCAAAGTCCCAGAAGAAGGGTTTGGAAGGAAATACAAAGCAGGCGGGGGAGGAGTGGGGAGAGGGGATTTGTGAATGAGCCAGAAAAACTTCAGCATTTACTTGCAGATGGGAGCCAATGAAGGAGACTGAAAGGGCAGTCTGTAAAGAGAAAAGAGGAGTCAAGGAGACCAAGGTGGCTTACAGTGCAGCCACCTAACATAACAAAAGTGAAATAAGACAAGGTGAGAACCAAGAAGTCAACCTGGGGTTTGGCAGCAAAGAAGTTGACCCCCTTGGCTAAAGCAGCCACAGTGGAGCTTGTGGAGGCGAAGGCCAGGTTCATGCTCCATAGGACAAGGGCTGCTAGAAAGAAGGTTCTACCTCTTCCTGGCAAAGAAGCAACAGCCAGCCACCTGTGCCTGCACTCTGAGCTCTCCAGTGCACTTTGAGGGTAGCAGGCCCCTCACCGAGTCAAGCTTCCACTTGCTATTCTCTAGGGAAGGCTTCTTCTGTGAGTGTCATTGCACATACTTAAGATCTGCAACCCCCAAAGGTCCCACAGCCAAACACAGCAGAGCTAGAGAGCTGGGCTCTGGAGAGCTGTTCATGCACCCGGCCCTCCCTGACGTTGCAGAACATGTGCCAGTCTTATGCAGTCATTTCTCTGCAGGCCAGGACCACCGAGAGCACAAATGATGCATGAGTTACCAAAAAAATGCTTCCTCTGGGAAGAAGAATTACAGGGCATAGGCCTTGGGGGAGTTGGAATTTCCCAGTAGGATGCACCCTCTGCTGGTTGCCTTGGTGCCAGGGATAGCCTGTGCAGCCATAAGGCGTAGCCCTGCACCCAGCAGAGTTGCACTCCTGGTCTGTAGATAAGAGCTAATGGACTGCCCGAGACCTGCCCCTGGACCTCTCTCAACCACTGGATCAACGATTGGCAGATACCCCGGATCCAAGCCTGTAGCCACCCTGCCTTCAAGGCAGACCCCAAGCAGTCCTTGATTTTTACACCTTTCAGACCTCCTGCCTACCAGGCTGCATTCACAGCTTCAGCTTCCTGGCTCAGCCTGGTGGGGCAGTGTGATCGGCTTGCGGCAAGAAAGTGCTGCCAGGGTTGGTGCTGATGCCTGGGTGAGGTGCTCTTCACAGATGTTCCTGTGCCTGGGAGAAACTCTGCAATTCCCACCTCTGCTCCGGGAGCTGGCCTGAGGGTCCCTTCTGCAGAATCTCTGACTGCACCCATGAAATGTGTGCCATCTGATCTGGCCATACAGGAGCAGACACACCATCACCATCACTGAAGAGACAGGAGAAACAGGAATCCCTCCTCAAACCCTGTCAATGAATGCACTTCCTGACACAGAGCAGTGGGCCCCTCCCAAAGTAAAAGAAAAGAGTATCATTCATTCACTCAGTCAGTCATTCAGGCACTGCTGAAAACTGTGCTAGGCACTGAGGTCCCTCACCCACCCAAAGCTAACACATCCAACAGTCCAATGTCATTTTGTGTCAGGGGCAGTGTGGTGAAGTAGGGATTGTCCTGATGAGAAGACAGGGGAGGGCAGTTCTTATCCTGGCTCAGGCACTAATTCACTTGGGCCTCAGTTTCCTAATCTGTAAAATAAGAGGAGAAGTCATCTCTTAGGGTCCTTCTAGCTATGACACTCTATGGCTCCACCTTTATTACTGGGGAGCCAGACCTACTTCAGCCCTAGAAGGAAAACCCTCAGCCACAACTCAGGAAGTTTTCTTCTCCAGGATTAGAATGGGAGGCTCAATATGGCCAGCCTCCCATGCTATAGCTGAGTTGATTTCATCACATCTCAGAGTTTCTAGGCAGCAAGTCCCCCTCTACTCCAGAACTGTCTGAAATGCAAAGTGAAAATGCTGCTAATCAGATATGACCCAGGTCATCAACTCAACCGTGGTCATAGCCTCACATTCATGCATAGGATTATACTTTAGAGATATTCTGTTTCAGTTAGGAACACTCCCTTAATCTTGAGGAGCCTGGGCTTTCACAGGGTCTGAGGAGCAAACACTCACTAAGCCGGTAGACAGATGTTATGTCAGTCTGAGCAAGCGTGTGGAGGAAGCTGGCACACTCAGCTTTCCTGTCACTTCCCGGGACCCCCAGAGAGCATCTTTCCTCATCACTGAAAAAGGTGGAGTTCTTGCTCCTGTATTGAGGCAAAAGACATGGACACAGATCAGTGCAAGGTTCCAGACATGACCCCTTCTCTTTTTGCCCTAGGACGTAGTGAAGGACACAGAGAAGCCATCAACCCACGTGCCCAGAGCTGAACTCAGACTCCTCATCTCACTGTTGTATAATGTATTTATTTACACTGCCAAGGAAGAAGAGCTGGTAGCACCTCATTTGTGCAGAACTGACCTATGCCGTTGCTGAATTGATCAAAGTGGCAATGAAAACACCCCTCCTGTTAAAACTGCATCTCCCAAGAAAAACAAAGCCCCTTCCTTTGACTCCTACCCATTCTTTGAGACCATTTTTAAGGGAAGAAATAGGAACTGGCTGCCCTAAATGTAAGAGTTGGAAAAGGACCATTAAAAGATGTTTCTTTGACAGGTTATTTCAAGAAAACACTCGGAACTAATGACACAATCTAGAGGAACAATGGAGAAAACTTGACCGTGGTCAGAACAAACCTTTCACATTGGATGTTGACATCTGATTCCATGACACAGAACAGTGTTATGTAGCATTAAGATAGAGAAAGAAGGGCTTCCCTGGTGGCGCAGTGGTTGAGAGTCCGCCTGCCAATGCAGCGGACACGGGTTCGTGCCCCGGACCGGGAAGATCCCACATGCCGTGGAGCGGCTGGGCCCGTGAGCCATGGCCGCTGAGCCTGCGCGTCCGGAGCCTGTGCTCCGCAACGGGAGAGGCCACAACAGTGAGAGGCCTGCGTACCGCACACACACACAAAAAAGATAGAGAAAGAAGGCTAAGGTGTGGGAAGGGGGTAGAAGGAGGGCCTGGGGGCTGGAAGAAATGATTATAAATAATAGAGTTCTGTATATTCACTCTATTGTATAAGCTAATTGTTAAAACTAATTTGCTCACTAGAAGTCTGTCATAGAATCAAAGAATATGAAAATTAGAAGTGGCTTGGAAAGTATTCAGTCCAGTGCCTATCTGGATAACACTTAACATCTCTTTCAGTTCTAAATATTCTTTAAACTTCAGAATCCAGTTTAAAAACAAAAATAACTTAGAAGCCCAAGAGTTAATAACAGCTAACACTTGGGAGGGGCTTATTATGAATCACACACTATTAACTCATTTAATCTACACAGTTGCTCTATGATACAGGTACTATTCTTATACCCTTCTTACAGAAGAAGAGACTGAGGCACAGAAAAATAAAGTTGGTGGTTAGGGAGCGGTGGAGCAGGATGTAAGTAGGATGTAAGAAGAGGTTCTCTCTTTCAAGCAGGGTTAACAGAGTGTCTGGGATGGAGTGCCATGGTCTGCCACTTACCCATTATCCCCATAGCTCAGATAAATGCAGTTTGAAAGTCAGTGATGAGAAAACTAGCCATTAATGTGAACTGCTCAAGGTCACACCTCTAATCAGTGGCAGAACCGGCACTAAAGCTGTGTCCTGACGTCTATGGCTCTTGACACACTTACTGAACCCCCATCTCTCTGGCTTGACCTCCAGATTCTCCCCAGCACTCTAAGAGCTTCCATCCTCAAAAGAGCATGTAATTGAATTCTACATCTAAACTCATTTGAGATAAAAAGAATATGATCCCAAATTTCTGTAGAACACTTGAATTTTACAAAGCATTCCTGAATTTACTATTTCATTTACTCTTCATAATAATCCTATGATGTAGGTATTTTTATCCATATTTATAGATGAAGATTCAGAAAGTAATTCAGTGCCACGCTCAGAATTACACAGTTAGAAAGTGGTAAAGCTGACACTGAAGCTGAGGTCTTCTGCCTCTGTGTCCATTGCCTCATGGCTGATCTGCTAAGGTCCTGAGTCCCAGATACTTAGAGTCTAAGAAGCTTGACAAATTACATTAGGGCTTTCCCAGCATGGAGACAGGCTTAGAAGGAGTGTGGCAGAGCTTCTAGAAATGCGGCAGGCTGACATGCTCCACACAGGGCTACTGAGAGTCTTCAAAGTCACTCTGGCCAAATACAAACACTTTGTCTATTCGGATAGAAGGCCTGCCTGAGGTTTAAGAATGGGTTTTCCAGCTGCTGTTCCTGTGAAATTAGGTAGCTGATGTTGAAATCTGGGCTGTAAAAAAGGAAACCCACAAAAATTTGCTTCCGCGGATAAGCAGGATCCCTTTCCCATGTGTCAGAGGCAAAGACTAAATCTGACTCAGAAAACAGCTTCTGAGAAATTTCATTCTCAATTTCATTCTCAAACCAATTTGGTTAAATGAATAAATCAAAGAATACATGCATGGATACATATATACATTCATACAGGCATACATATGTACAAACAGGGTACAAACACTTCAGGGAGTAATACACCAGTACAGGGAGGAAAGCTGGGGGAAGAGGATGGAGATTTCAGCAAATGCTGGACCATCTTCAGAAACCTGACCCTAAACGAACACAGACTAAGAGTGACACCCAGTGGCCTGATCACAGGGACAGCACAGCACATAGGGATGGTTCCCAGGACTTCCACACCCTGGCTGCTGCTGGCAGGTTGTTTGTGGGGTCTTCCTCCAATTGCTGTTTCGGGGGTATCTATAATCTAGAGAGTGATTTCTAGAGTGTGCAATGGGCCAGTTCTCCTCTTCTCTCCCTCTCCCACCCCTCCGTCTCCTGTCCACTTTCCCCTTCCCTACCGAATGCGCAATCTCTGGTGCATGGGGTCCCACAGGTGAGCAGGTAGAGGTCAACAGGCAACTCTGTGCAAGTAAGGAGAAGGTTTCCTGACCACTTGGATACAGGGGATGATATTCTGCAGGGTGAGTGTATCCTGTACAACTAAGCCAGCTAAAATGTGATGATCAGATTAATTTAGTAGTACTGGGTTATTGTCATTTGAGGCATGATATGAGGTACAGAAGTTCAATATAATTGATTAAATCTGACACCGGCCTCCAGTATCCTGTTAAAACTGCCTCTCAGAGATTACCACCCACAACAGTAACAGCAATAACACACACACACACACACACACTGTGCCAGGCACCATTCTAAGTGTTTTACACGTATCAGCTCATTTCAACTCAAGACAATCTTATGGGCAAATACTAACACTGCATGCATTTTACAGATGAGTAAACTGAAGCTTAGAGAAACAAATTAACATATCCAAAGTCACCCAGCTGGTAAGCTAATGGAGACACATGATGTGCTCACATGGCCATAAATGCCTTCCAGGAAGTCTGGCTCTGGAATTCTTTATTACTGACCTATGCTGCCGCCCAATGACCAGTGACCTCCCCAGGGCCAGTGACTTCTCAATGGTCAATTTCAAAGGACTTCCACAGGGTTAAGCATCCCCCACCTCCCACATGGCTGGTTCCTCCCCCTCAGCCGTCCTTCTTTCTTCCTCTGATACATTCTTTCTTCCTCTGCTCTATAAATGGTTCTTCCCCATGGAGTCTCTGTTCTTTTTATTCTTCCTCCCTTTCACTAGGACCTCAGCTGCGGGACTCTGTTTTTGAAAAAGAACCCTAGGGGCTTCCCTGGTGGCGCAGTGGTTGGGAGTCTGCCTGCTAATGCAGGGGACACCGGTTCGAGCCCTGGTCTGAGAAGATCCCGCGTGCCGTGGAGCGGCTGGGCCCATGAGCCATGGCCGCTGAGCCTGCGCGTCCAGAGCCTGTGCCCCGCAACAAGAGAGGCTGCGATGGTGAGAGGCCCACGAACCGCGACGAAGACTGGCCCCCGCTTGCCACAACTAGAGAAAGCCCTCGCACAGAAACGAAGACCCAACACAGCCCAAAGTAAATAAATAAATAAATAAATTTTAAAAAAAAGAAAAAGAACCCTAGATTTAACATCAGCAATCTGCAATTCCAGACCCAAGCCATGGTTCAGCTGTTTCACTCCGGGGGTCCTCAACTACTCCTGCAGTAAATTGAGGGGGTAGTTTTAGCAGCAGTTCTCACCTGGGCTGCACACTAGCCCCACCTGGGGAGCTTTTACAACCATGGCTGCCCAGGCCCCACGCAGACCAATGAGAATGCACTGCTGGGGGCAGAACACAGGTATCCGTATTTGTAAGCTCCCAGAATCTCTAAAGTCTGTTGACTGGTCCTAGCAGTGCCCTCTCCTCTCCATTCCCCTTGCCCCTTCCCAAATGCCCCTAACCTCAGCTTTCTCATTGGTCTCCTGCCTCCAGGCTCTCCCCTGACCATGCACACCTCAGCCAAAGCCAGGGCTGGCTTCCTAGACAGAAGTCCCAGTCACATCATGTCACCCTTGCTCAGATACATTCAGTGGCTCCTCATGCCCTGACAGGCCCATGGCATAGGCGTTTCCCGTCTTTATCATGGCCCCGCTGAGCCTTTGTCACACTACCACCCTCCTGGTGACCGGCCCCCAACAATATGAATCGTTCCTCAACATCCCCCTTACTTTCCTACCTGTGACCTCCTTTCCCTATTGACGTCTGTTGAAATGTCTTACACCGTGCAAAGCTGAACTCACAGGTTACCTTTTTGAGGAAAGTTCTCTTGACACCCTTTATCTCCTTCTAAACTCTCATTGCTCTCCATACCTCTCCAGGAGCATAGTGAGTGATCTTCCTCTTATAGAGGTACCTGGGTTCCCACATTTCTGTGTAGGGAAAATGACTTTCTCTCCCCTCTCCCTAAAAAGGACAGGGCTTAGAGGAAGCTTCTGCCCTTGGTCCACTCTCCTTAGTGGCTCTTTCCACAAGGGAAGGAGTTCCAGTCGGAGTGTTCAGAGCCTTAGGCATTGCTTGGGCTGTGTTTTCCCCATGTGGAGGGCTACAGTGTCTCAAGGTTAACCACCAACTCTGTGTTCCCTCTTGTACTTCCTGGGCCCAGGCTTTCTACTGTTGCTATCCCCATGCAGGATGGCCAACCAGAGAGACCGGGCAGTACTCCAGCACTCCATGACAGGGTGGATGGAGCAGGCTGGCCACCTGCTGCTGACTGGTCATGTGGTGGCTCTGCTCCTCAGAACCAGCCCTTCTATACTTAAGGCAGGAAAGAGTAAAAGAGGCACTCTGCCATCCTGGCCAACACTGACTTCCCATACATTAAGCTTTCAGCAGACAGACCTATGTGGGAGGGACTCTCCATTCACTAAGCTGGAGTCTATAGGTCCCTGTATGTGTACTCCCCTGATGGGGCCCCTTGATTGGGTGGGAAAGGCTAAGAGCAGGTCCTGGGTTTGGGGGGTTGTGTTTCTCTCCTTGCACAGAGGAAGGCCTCAATGACCATCTGCTGAAATGAACTGAACTGACTCCTTCCCTGATCACTCATATTTTCTTTCCTATCACTCCTCATGTCGCCTTGACTGTCAGAATGTGCTCCTCTGGGTTCATGTTACCAGGAAACCCTGAAGCTCATCTTCAAACCTGCTCAGAATGGGGCAGGACCACTGGGGAAGGTGGCCCTGCTCCAGCACATCCCAGGAGGTCTGTGTGTCATACTCACATTGGGGAATAAGAATCAGGATCTATGTTCCTGGTGGGGACAAAGCCCACTTCTCCTGAGAGCGCTGACTTCCCAATGAACCACTGAAGCCCAGGAATGACAAAGCCGATGATCTCAATGCTTTCTCCCTGGTGGAAATTCAGTTCATCCTTTTCTTCCCTCTCATATTCTTTCCAGGCCTTACATTTTCCTCTACCTGTGGGAAAACAGCACACAGGTCAACCAAATAAGGCAGGAACAGCGGAGCCTTCCACTAGCTTCCAGTGTAATATGAAATGAAGAGTTCCCAGACTTTAGAACTTTAAGGACCAGTAAAATTTCTCCCCCCCCTCAAAAAAAGAAATTGGCAGGAATGATATAGGGTAACTGGCTTTTCATTTGGCCAAGCTAGGAAATTCAAAAAAGGAACTCCCATCCACTTTTACCACCGTTTTATAAAAGAAATTTTCACAAACGTAGTAAATATAATCTCAGAATACTAGGTATACCTTAAAACAGAATAAAGGTAGCTTATGTCAAACTGGAAAGCTCACTATATTGTCCTACTTTGTCTGATTTGCCATTATGTAAACACTTTCCCATGGTTGGCACAGATCCACAGACCAGGGTGAGGACTGCTGTAGGATCTCTCCATTTCCTTCTGGCTCCTTTGGCCACTATGACCTTCAGTTTCCCCAACTGTAAAATGGGGATAATGAGAATACCTGTCTCTTACAAATATCAGGAAGAGTTAAAGAGATAAAGTGCACAATGCCTGGTACCTAGGCAACCCTCAATACATGTTAGCCTCATATCACTGGCGAATAGAAAACAGCTGGTTACCCAGAGGGTTCTGGAAGACTCCTCTTCTGACTATGGTCACTACCTAGCTTGATCAGCTGCCAAGCTAGGATCTAGTAATGATATATTTATGAGAATTGTACTCTCCAGTTTACAAAGTACACTTATGTCCCTTTTCTCAGATCTTTCTAGGAGCCCCAAAGGGTAAGCAGAGCAACTATCAGAATCTCCTTTTTATAGATTAGAAGGTGGAAGCACTGAGAGGGTACGTGATTTGTCCAAGGAGTTTGTGTGTGAACTAGAACTTAAGTCTCTCCACTGCTGTTAACCCTTCTTTCCACTAATCCAGCTCTAGTTGAGGTAGCAGTTTTTATATGCCCCAGTTTCCATATTTGCTTTAGCTCTCCTGCTAAAGCTACTGGATTTTTTTTTCCTGACATTTTTGGTCAAGTTTCTGTTGACTGTGTCTTCAGAATCAGAAGTTCCCACTGCTTTGGTCGTATCTACCATGTGTTAAACACTTAGAATGTGAGAAAACTGTACTAAGTGATTTATAGATGTCATCTAGTTTAGTTTCTCATGACAACATTTAAAGTTGGTTTTACAGTAACATTTTACTAATGAGGAAGTTGTGACATTGTGAGAGCACGTCATGAACTGGCTGAGGTCACACTGGTTTTAAGTTGTGGGGCTAGAACTGGAACCCAGAATAGGACTTCACAGCCCCATGTGCCTAACGACAAGGCCATACTGCCTCAGATAGGTAAAAGTCTTGTTTGTGGTTGATTATTAATTAGATCTAATGTCTGGGTCTCATAATTCCCTCTGTTTCTTTTTTTTTAAAGTGGTACTTGGGCTTAGAACTTTAAAAATTGCACTTTGTGCTAGGTGTAAGAAGGCAGCTCCAAGGATGAAGATGAAAGGAATGTATATTCTAGATACATAGAAAACATTAAATTTCCTTATCCAGTAGATACAAATACACTTATAGATATATCGGTATGTGTATATATTTATGTGTGTGTATGTATATATATAAATATACATACATACATACACATGTGTATAGAGATTACATAAAATGTATGCATTTATACATATATATATGTATGTATTTCATCTATTCAACATATTTACTGAGCACCCGCTATGTGCCAAGCATTCTTAATCTTCCTTAATTCAAGATTAACTTCACAAAACTCTGAAGGAAATTAGAAAATGTTTTGACTAGAGATTGAAAGCAGGCAGCCTGCACGCTACATCTGGCCCACACAGGGCTTTTTTTTTTTCCCACATATTTTTAAATCCCTATGGTCCCTACCATTCCCTAACATCTTCCCTCCAGGCCCTCCACGCATCTGTGTGTTCCGCCTGTCCCTGGAGGTATTTATATCTACAGTACAGCCCTCATCTGAGACCTCTCATTTCACAGGCAAGGAAACCCATGGGAACAGATGGTATAATTGGGTTCCCCAAATTCAGTCAGCAGCAGAGGTGAGACAGGAATTCACATCCACTGACTCCATATCTGCCGATAAAAGGAGGAGGCAGAGCAATATTATCTCCCTAATAATACTGCCTTCAACTCAGCCGTACCGATCTGATAGGAGCCTGTCCAATCCCTCTTCCTGGAAAGGCCACAGCTTCCTGGATAATTCTTTAGGAACCATCTGCCAATGGAAACATGGGGTTTGCAAACATGGATTTCAAAAAATTTGAACAGTGAGCAGAATAATCCATTAAAATGATGCTGATGCTGATAAGTATTCTTGTAATTTTGGTTACTTTTATTATAATAAATTTAATGAGAACTTACTTTTTATCAAGCACTGTGAAAAATAAAGAAGCTCAGCAGGCCTGTGATATTATCTGGCTCAGCAATTAGCTTGTCAGTAAAATATCTAACAAAGGATCCCATTCCATTCTCACTGTCAGATTCTCTGCCACACACAGAACCCACGGCCTGGAATCATGCTTACTGTCACTCTCTCTGTTTGAGTTTACAACATCTTTCAGCAAGGATTCTGGAACTTTAGTGTGAAAAACATCCCCTGATGTTTAAGGGGAGCTTATATAAAATGCAGATTTTTGGATCCAACCTCAAGAGAGTCTGAGGAGGGCCAGAGGGTATAAACTTGCAGTAGAATCCCCAGGCAACTCTGGTACAAATGGTCCCCAGTCCCCACAGTGAGAAACACTGCATTGGAGACCAGGCAGTGTATTTCTTCTTTGGTACAATGTCCATCTGAAACTTTGAGTTGTCTCCATTTCATCTAATTGTGCAAATCTTGACTTAAAAAAATAACAAAAGATAAAAAGCCCCCCAGGTTTGTTCCCTCCCTGGCACCACGGATGTCCACATCTGCAAATGTGCCTACTCTGTTCTGCAGACCTCAGTGCGCTCTGAGACCCTCTCCCAGGAGGTGAGTGGCTACTCACTGGTGGAAAGGGAGAGGCAGGGGTTCCAAGGCTGACACTGGCACCAAGCCCCGCTGACCCGTCACCAAGGACACGCCTTCCCACTCGAACTCGCCTTCAGCTGTCTTCACCGAGATTAACTCATTCTTGCAAAGTGTCAAATACTCCCCTTCCTTCTCAGCTGGCTGAGCCATGGAGCACGTGGCTCTGCAGAAGAAGTGACCTGCAGAGAATGAGAAAAGCTCTTTCCAAGGAGTAGCAGGAAGTGAAAATGGAGTATCCCACTATGTATATTTCCACCAGAGCCCGGATACTTTTCTTTCTGAAAGTAAAGTACACAGTCCAAGGGGAGGTACTACAAGAGGCCTTTGTGACCCCAGGAAAACTGGTACCAGGGAAAAAAGCCACTGAGAGGGAATTCACTTAAAATAGACACCAAAAACTCCAAATAATTCTCAAGAATGAGGTTTAATTGGGACTTCACCTTGAGAAAAAAATGAAACAACAGTTCATGAAAATATATTTAACAGAACTTCAGTTATAATTGCAACCTCATGTTAATCTTAGGACCAAAAAAGAATAAATTAAGTTGATTTGGGTGAATATAATTTCTCCAACTAAATTTCACAGTCATACAGTATGAAAGTTTTTCCTTCATATATGATTCATGCAAAACAATCAGAAAGGGAATCATTATGCAAAATATTCTATGCAAATATGGCTCTTTCACTGTGTCTATGATGTCATCAGTCATTAACTGGTTGGCTGCAGCCTTGATTGGATCCTTCCTTGTAAACAGACTGGTGGGTGCTCCAAACAGTTTCCCAATATCACTTTCCTCGATCTCATGAAATCATGAAGGTTTTGCAAGATCTGCAATTTTATTTTACAATCAAATTATATCACATGTTTGGAATAGTGGTTCTCAATCTTGGATGCATATTAGAATAACCTGGGCAACTTTCAAAAAATACCAAAGCCTGATCCCCATGGCTAGAGATTAACTGGCCCCAGCTGAGCCCTGATATGGGCATCTTCTTAAAATTCCCGGGTGGTTCTAACATCAGACAATCAGTGAGACTGGCCTACACAGCTGTTCATGTGATATTGATGTTAAACTGACAGAGATGGTTGAAGTAATATTGTAACAGGTGGGTTCATTTGTGAATATTTTCATGTTTGAATGGTTTTTGCCTCCCTTTGTATCCTAATTATTTCAAGGACTCTGATAACATATATCCAGATAAGACCCCCATCCCCACCCCTACACCATGCTCACCTTCCTGGATCAGAAGTCCCAGGTATATTGTTTCCAGGTGTTTATCATCTACTGACACGTGGATCTCTGTATCCTCCACCAGTCGGCAGTTAAGCCAGTACTTGTGATCAAAGAGGAGATGCTCCAGACACATGGATACGTAGCCTAAGAAGTCAAACCAACAAGATTCCTCAAGGGCATGATTTCTGCCATTAGCTGATCATTAGGGTGAGCAATTTCCCTCCTGAATTTCTCCCCCAGACCTCCATACCTAATCTGACTCCACTTAACTGGAATTAGAAGAGCATAAGAGGGGTAGCTAGAAAATTTCTAAAATGAATTGATTCTTCTCAGCATCTGTTGGGAAGTACAAATCATTTTTAAATGATATTTATTTTCAACATATTATGGGTTTCCATAAATGCATAATAAGATTATCAGACCAAGTTACTGTTTTATAATACATCCAGGGAGGAATCTCCAAGATTACAATGTTGACACTGGGAGTTCCTGGTTCCCCCTTAAAGTTCTCCCGACCAAATTCGAATTCTTGTACCCCTGATGATGCAGTGGCTGGGGAGGTTCTCCATGGCCCACAAATGAGTCAGGATTTACTTCAACATCCCTCTGACCCTGCCCCTCACCCCATGCCCAGTAAGATCTCACTTGTTAAAACCAGACTAAAAACTGTGCAAACTGTAAAACTGTAACTATTATGGATAGTATTTTACACATTCCTATAAATTTAAATTATTTGTATGAAAATTTTGCTTCTTTCTAGACATCCTCACTTTCTTAAGATGCAGAACCTGTCTCTTTCCACTCTGCGTTGTGCTGACTTAGGCCCTGTGTATCTTCTATAATGGTGCTTCTCATACTTTCATGTGCACACAAATCACCTAGGGACCTTATTAAAATACAAATGCTGGTTCAGTAGGTCTGGGTTGCAGCCTAGGATTCCATGTTTCTAACAAGTCCCAAGTGATGCTGATGCTGCTGGTCCATGGAGCACACTTTGAATAACAAAGATCTCTAATGGTCACAGAAGGAGATGTGTTGAATGGAGAGCAGAAAAATCACCATGACTACAAGAGGAGAACTTATACCTTCTAGCCAAGAGCCATCTTGACCCTCCACCCCTACACAAAATCGCTTCCTGTGTAAGTCTGCATGGAGCCCAGCATTTTGTAAGAGAAGTAAAACATGCATCAATTCAAGTGGCCTCCTCTTGCTTTGCTTGGTTTTGCTTTGCAATTGTAACTTTCCTATCATGAGTTATTCTCCATGGAGACGGCAGGTAAACTATTTCCCACCACGTCAGTACTGGTGCTGTGCCCCAGTATCTTTCTTTACCTTCTAGAAAACCCTGCAACCTGAGGCCCCTTTAGCAGATAAGTCCCCCATATCTTTCTTTGACTTTTCCAAAAACATGGAACATGGATCTGGAACTTTTGAACAGCTACTTAGATCCTACTAGAGGCTGTTCTCTTTTTTTTTTTTTTTTAACCATCAATTTCTAATCTAGCTGTACTTTGAATCTAGTAGATGATCAAAAACTGTTTGCCAGTTTTAACTGATTATCTAATACTCTCTTCCTGAAACAAAGAAGTGCTGCATGTGACATTTTAGAGCAATATTTGCTTTAGATTTAGTTCCAGGCAGTTTGTGATATTTCAAAGGTTAACCATCCATGTTAGACTCTACTGCTTTTAATTATCAGAGCCAGACCAATTCCTTAATGTCAAGCTCTGCAAATTGGTTAAACTGAGAAGCAGGTGCTCCTTTACCTGCCTGCTCCATGTCATACCTAAGTTCAGGTAGGTGGAGAACTTCCAGATTTCCTCCATGGTCTTGAAGGTAATGAGGAACTGGGCCTTCTGGGACTGTATACACACCAACCTAGCTGAGAGGTCCTGAGTAAAAAAGAACAGTGAGTCAGCCTGGGATGACAAAAGCGTCCTGTGAACAAGCTCACGTATATACAATATGCTGTGTATGAACTTCTTTTTTTGAGATATAATTGACATATAACATCATATTAATTTTTAGTGTGTAACATAATGATTTAACATATGTATATATTTTGACATGATGGCCACAATAAGTTTAGTTAACATCCACCACATCACATAATTACAGATTCTTTTTTTCTTGTGATGAGAACTTTTAACATCTATTCTCTTAGCAACTTTCAAATATACAACATAGTATTGTTAACTACAGTCACCATGCTGTATGTTACATCCCCAGGACTTTTTTCTCTTATAACCAGAAGTTTGTACCTTTTGACCACTTTCACCAATTTTGGCATAGATTTTTTACATCACCAAAAAAAAAAAAGGAAATAACCTAAATGTTCATCAATAGGAGACTGGTTAAAATGAATCATGGTTCATCCATACAATGGAATATTATGATATTATGCATCCATAAAAAAGAATAAAGAAGCTCTTTGTGTATTGATACAGGCTCCAAATATTCACTGCTGAATGAAACAACAGCAGAAACAAAAAGGAACCTGAGTATAGAACTGTGTGCAGAGAATGTTATCTTTTGTGTTAAAAAAAAAAAAAAGAAGTATGTGTGAGAGGGTGGAGAATGAATCACAGAAGGCACCTTGGAAGCAAATTTGATTGTGAATCTATGTTTAATAATTATTTTTACGAAGCTAGCAAACAGAAAAACCAAACCACACAAAAATAAAAAGTATCCATAATCCCTCCTCCTAGAGATCATCAATGTTAACAACTTTGTGTATTCTTTGAATCTTTTTTCTGTACATGAGTTTCTATGTAACTATTTTTATATAAATAGAATCACATTAGTAAGTTGTTTTGTAATCGTTCGTCCCTAAACAATGTTTTGTGAACCATCTCCCATGTCATTAAATAATCTACATTATGTTTAATGGTTACATATGCTGTTGTCACATTAACATAATTAATTCTTAATGTTTTCTTATGGCTAGACATTTGAGTTGTTTTAATTTTTTAACATCCTAAACAGTACTGTGATAAACATCTCATATCTAAATCTTTGTATGCACCCTTGATTGTTTTGACACAAGTGATTCCAAGAAGTGTTAATTGGGAATGCACATTTTCAATCCTAAAATGCAGGAGCCAAACTACCCTCCAGAAAGGTTGTGCCAGTTTACACACTCACAAGCAGAGCAAGAAGAGACCTGTAACACCCCCCCACCCCCTTTTTAAATACCTGAATAAAAAGGCCTGAATCACTGCCTAGACTTGGTTTTCCCCTAAAATCTTTTTTGCTTGTCCAAGCATCTGGACTTGACTATAACAAGTGATGATCAGAATGTCCCTCTCCCTCCAGGCCAGTCCTACCACCAGTGATCAACCCCTGGATCCCTGTCCTGAGGGAACCCTGGAGAAAGAAGAAGAGGATAGAAGGATCCAAGGAAAAGCCCCTACTTCAGCAAAGTCAGAACTCTGGGGTTCTCCCATACCAGGCCCCAGGAGGCCCCAGGTCCTTGGAGGATATAGATCCTGGTAGTCAGGGAAGAGGGTCCTAAGTAAAAACTGATTTACAAGGAATTTACTATATGCCAGGCTCTTCAGCAAGAGTTTGATGAGCAATGCCTCATTTAACTTTTACAATAACCCTATGAAAGAGTGTAATTATAGGAGTTAACCCATTCTAAGATGCACTTTTATCACATTTCACCATTTCTGAAATAAAAGAAAAGGAAGTGTGGCATCATAAATAATGGGCAGCATTTATTTTCTTTCTTAAAATAGTGTGTTTATAATCAAATGGCACCTCACATTTAATAGAAAATGGCACTGTCCCTGTTTTATACTCAAGGATGCCAGGGTGCAGACAGGGTAAGTCAAGGGAGCTGTGACACCCAAACTGGATCTCAGTTCCAACTGACTCCAGGCCTCAGCTTTGGCCCACAAGCCTGCCCACTCAAGACTCAGCACAGCAGGCCAGTTTGCACAACCAAACCCAGCTCTTGCCTGTGTCAAAAGCGACTCAAATTAAAAGAAACTCTATGGTGCCCGTTAGTAGCTAATGCCTCCAAGTTCCTGAATTCTGGAGATTTAAAAACAAAATGACTCTGCTATATATAACATATCTACTATTTCTGGAGCACATCCTACCACCCAAGCACAACACCAAGCTCTCTACAGATACTATCTCATTTACTCCTCCCAACAAACCAAACACTATATTTTTTGTTACATGACAGATTAATAGAGTATGTTTCTCTTTTTAATTTGTATCAATTCATACAGAAACTGTAAAATAACTATAACATACTAGTTTATTATGTAAAGCAATGTTCTCTTTCCCCCACCTCTAGTTGCAGCAAATTTTAAACATTCCTGACTTCAGTTCTCCTAGTAAGTACCTCCTAAGGTATAAATAATTTAGTCATACCCTTCTTCCTTGGTTTAGCACTTGAAGATATTATCTACCTACTATGAAAGATGAGAAATTGGTTTATTTTATTGCCTTTTCCTCCTCTCATTCTAATATTTATAGCTATTAATTTTTGATTAGCAATTTTGGTACGTAAAAAAAGTACACTTACCAGTGGTTACCAGTGGCTGAGGAAAGGGGATACAGGGGAGTTATTGTTTAGTGGGTACAGTGTTTTAGTTTGGTATGATGAGAAATTCTGGCATGGACAGTGGTGATGGTTACACAATAATGTGAATGCATTTAATATCACTGACCTGTTCTGTAAAAATTATTAAAATTGAAAATGTTATGTATATTTTATCACAATCTTAAAAAGTCAAATTCACCACATTTTTTAAAAAGTATACTTTATGAGGTAGGTATTATAACGATTCCCATTCTACAGAGGTTAAGTAACTTGCTGAAGGTCAAAAAATTAATAGTGGCAGATTTTAAATGAAGTCTTCTCTGACTCTGACTCCAAGGCTTGACCCATTCCTGCTGAGCAGAGAATGTGTACATTTTCCTTCATTCATTCAGTCAGATGTTTTCTTGAGGGCCGACTTTCTTCCTAGCACTGTTCTAGGTGTTGGAGAGGCTGTTGTGGACAGACACAAGGTGGACACAAGGTTGCACTGCTCTGCGAAGCTCACCTTAAACAATGCACGCACCTCCTGGTCCTCATTCTCCAGCGCCCAGAGCCGCCTCCTGGCTGCTTCTTGCAAGGGGCCATTTACACACCTCCTGGAGCGGCTCTTCACACTGAAGGAGAGCGTCAGATCTTAAAGAGAACAGAGTGAGAAAGATCAGGATGGAAATGCAGAAACAGGGAAGAAAGAATTAGATAACCCCCAATGTTTCCCACACCCAACCCCTAAATTGATGTTCTCATCAGAGATTACAAGTGATCTTAACAATTCTCTGAGCACATTCTTTAAACTTTCCTCCCCCAGAAGAAAAAATGCTGAAGCCCAGAATGTTCTGGAATCACAGGAGTTGCTGCAGTTGGGTTGGTTATTTCTGTTTGTACAGAGTATATTCCTGCTCTGCCTGGCACTGAGGGAACAGTGCCACACAGAACCAGCTGGAACATATCTTTCCTCCTGTGGATGATTTATGAAAGTTTCCAAAGAATACTAATTTATCCATATTTATGGAAGTATATTTATATGTCAAATTTATGATATGTAATAGATATTAATACTACATGCATTATACATATACACATGCATTTCCTCTAACCTGCTTCTTTCTGATTATGCATTTGTTGTTCGTCAGGGTAAGTGGCTAATATATTAAAGTCTATCTTTAACATCTTCAAAATGCACATTCATTCAATACTGTGAACAGAGGCTATTTTAGGTGCTGAGATACAGCAGGAAACAAAATAGACAAGGTCCGGTTCTCATGGAGCTTGTATTTTTGGCAAGTAACCAATTCCATGAACACAGTAATTTCAGATGGAGAAAAGTGCTATGAATAAAAAAAAAATGTTAATAGGGTAAAGAGACAGAGTGATGGAGCTGTTGGAGAGTGGATAGTGTTGCTGGGAAAGGCCACACTGAGGAGGTTCATCTTATAACTGCACTTTGCCATGTGTCTTCTTCAGACAATACGTAGCAATTGCATTAATAATTATCAAACGCAATGAACCTTCAAGGCAGCAACTAGATAGGCACAGAGGTCTGTCTTCTAGCCCTAACCTGCCAGGGCTTTTGCAAATTCCTGAGCACATTACAGACGGTCCCTGTCATGCTGGCCTGAGAATACAGGCAGCCTGCATTTCTGTCTTCCTGTCTCTAACCAAGAAGTCGTGGAAATGCTGTGGCTGCAGGCCAGCTCTGATACGACATGCCCAGCTGACCTGACATCGGTGAGAGCTTTGGGTGGATGTCCCATTCCGTTCCTCCCTGGCTTGTGTTCTAATCTCATGCAAGCCCTCCATCTGCCGCAGTCCAGGTCCAACGACTGTCTGGTAGCCTCACTGACCACTGATCTCTAGGAGGAGGTAAAGCCCAGGGAGGAGGAGTCACACAGACATGGACTCGAGGCTCGGCTCTGCCTTTGTTAACTGCACCACCCTCAGCAGTTAATTACCTCTCTACGCTTGACTTTTCTAATTAATAAGATGGCTTTTAGAGTACTATCCCACAGGGTTTTTAAGAGGCTTACTAAATGAGATTATGTGCATAATGCATTTTGTTCAGTGCTGGGTGCATACTAAATGCTCAATACACACATGAGCATTAGCTTTTGCCCCTTGCAACCCCCCACCCCAGTGCTCCAGCAGTTACTGCTCGCAGCCCCCAACTTGTTACAATGTAATTAACCTTGACACTGATTGATTCTGTGATTTCTGTTCACCGAACCTCCTGTCCTTCCAAAGCCTGATCTAAACTCCCCTCCAGAATCCTCCTGGGAAAAGCTCCTGATAAGTGACGGCCCCTTCAATGTGAACTTCCTTGCCATGTACTTGAATCCATGGTTATAGAACTTAAAAGACCTGGACTGAAATAAGCAAACTGCTTGTGGATCTCAACCAATGAGAGCTGATACTCAGAGCAGCATCTCTGTGCCACTGTGGGATCCTATAGTGCCCTCTTTGGATAGGGGAATAAATCAAGTTCACTCTAGTCTTAGTGTGAAGTGCATTTTGTCATTTTTTTAATACTTCTGAAAACCGGTGGTTTAGTCGTGATAATGTATCTGACTGATTCTGTCTGGGACTCTTCCTCATAAAGAAGAGGGTGGCAGTTGGAGCTGAGTCTCCCCTTCTCACCCTATGACCTTCCTGGAAACAGCAACATCCAGAAAATGCTGAAAGACGGACAAGTTCAGGTTCAGGTGGTTAAGTTTCACCTACATGTACCCTTTGTTCACTTGCCTTCATGCACTGATAAGACAAAATGCTGGCTCCACTGTGTTCAGGAGACAACAGATGGTGGGTGATTCAGCTTTTTCAGGGATGGCCCAAGCTGACAGACAGATAAGCAGACTGACGCAATACCAAAAAACAGAGGGCAAGGTTTTTCTTATTGTCAACCAAGAAGTCTGACAGAATTTGAAATTGGGAAAAGAAAGAATATGGCATGACGTTACACTGTTTACATAGTGTATATCCTTCAAAACATTCATAATGCAAATCTTTTTTCACAAATCTCGATTTTGTATGCTGGATAAAAGTACATGTTTGGGCGGCAGCGGAACACCCTGGTTGCAAACAAGGACCAGAGATTGAATGCCTTTCCCATAACGTATTAACTGTGCAGCACTAGGGAAGTCACCTCCCTCTCTGAGTCCCTGTTTGCCACCTTTGAAATACAGAGTGTGGTGCCACCTTCTAGAGGTGAGCATGTGAGGATGAGAAGTAGATGCAGGGATGACTTAGCACGTGCTTGGCATGTGATTTGCCCTCAAAAGTGGTCCCTGTTACTGGATAACAGAAACTGTATCTTCTACAGGTTTATCCTCAGAGTTTCCAGTACAAGGTTCAGCCCAGGTGTAGCTCTCTCTCTGAGGATGGTTCTCTCTTTGCCAGCTTCACTGAAGTCTCTTAAGGGGAACACTGTGAAAGATATGTTCTGAGAAAAAGATTTTTTCCACTTTAATTTCAAAATCTTTTTCTCCTTCTGAAAGATTCAGACAGACATCCTTCTGCTCAGCCAATCTCACCCCACATACTCAACCCTTTATTCACTTATTTATGTAACCAACTCTGTTTTTATTCTGTATACTACCAAAACTCTGTTTTGGTAGTATACAGAATACAAACATGACCCCCATGGACCTATTCAATTATTCATGTATTTATTTACCAAACATTTTCTGAGCACCAATTATGTACAAAAAACTCTTTTAGGTACTATGTAGAATACTTAATTATTCAAAAAATTACCCCTGCCCTTCAGCACCTTAAAATCTATTTGATGATATACTTTATTTAATACAGCAAATATGTATGGAGCTCCTAATATGTGCCAGACTGTGAAGAACTCTGAGTGTTAGCTTGAGATGGCTTAGCTTAATCTTACAGGCAATGGAGAGCACTGGAAGATTTGTGAGCAAGTGAATATCATAGTCAAGGTCATGCTTACAAAGATGTATTTGATGGTGGTGCCTAGAAAGGATCAGAGGGAGGGAGTTTGCAGATGGGACTGATAAGGGGATTACTGTAATATTCTACATGGAAAATATTTTTTAACTAGGTTTTGTCTTTGGGGTTTAGATACCTGGAGTCATATTCTGTGGCAGGAAACATTTTTCCTTGTTTTCAGATAAGGAAATAATCTCAGTGGATATGGCTGGATCCTTGGAAGAAGTTTCTTTACCTGGAGGAGATCAAATGAAAGATCATTTGCGAGAGTATAAGAAAGCTATAAGCAAGGATTGCAAGTTTTTATCAAGTGATCATTTTTTTCTCCAGGGCTGGTGGCCTAGAAGAACTCTAATTGTTACCACCATCGCCTAATAATTATTTAGTATTCAACTAAAGCATACTATCTCAATCCTATAGCAGCCTGGGTGTCCCCACTTTATTAAAAAAAAAAAATTCCCACCTACAGGTCAGACTGAGTCCCATGGCCTAGTATACTGAACGTGTTCAATATATGCTGAGGCTACAAGGTCATTATAGATCTGACTACAGCAAGGTGGATAACACAAGTGCTGGAGCAGAGCAAGTGCGAATAGCATCATAAGGGAGGTGGCTGGGGCATGGCTGTAATGGCCCTGAAATGTATGATTGTCCCCAGACTGCCCTTCTGTCTGCCCACTATACAGAGTCCTGTATGGGACTTCTTTCCTCCCCAGCTCTCTAAAGTGTTCCTGTCTTTGCAGCTGTAAAATTGGAGTGAAAAGGAGAGGAAAGAAAACCATAGCATAGACTAAGGTTAAGAAGGAGGCTATTTTGATGGCATGGGGTTGAAAAGAGAAGAAGAGTACAGCTATAAAGCACAAGGCAGCAGGTAAAAATGAATAAAAGGGAAATTCAGGGCTTCCCTGGTGGCGCAGTGGTTGAGAGTCCGCCTGCCAATGCAGGGGACACGGGTTCGTGCCCTGGTCCAGGAAGATCTCACATGCCGCAGAGCGGCTGGGCCCGTGAGCTATGGCCGCTGAGCCTGCGCGTCCGGAGCCTGTGCTCCGCAACGGGAGAGGCCACAACAGTGAGAGGCCCGCGAACCGCAAAAAAAAAAAAAAAGAAAAAAAAAGGGAAATTCACAAGTATTGATATGGGATGTGGGCCTCCTTCATGGTATCCTCAAAATACAAGAGAACTCAAGTCCTTAACACATTACTGTTGGTTACTCTGTTCTTTTGAACATGACACTGCTCAAGGACTCCACCATGGGGTCAGAAGATTATAAGCATTACCTGATACTGGAAATAGGGATTAGGAATCTTGTCTCAACCACCATTTGTCAGTCATTCATCTAATCCATCCAGCTTCTTCAACTGTAAAATGCTGGTGGATCAAACTCAAGCAGACCTACCACGTTTGCATTCTGGACCTGTGTTTCTGTTGATGCAACCCAAGAGTGATAAGAGATGAAGTAATCGCGCGCCATCCAATCCCTGCTGGTTAATGCTGAACCCAAATCCTCATATTGCTGCCAGAAGTCTTTGCCTTCTTCTGTGCCTATACAGTGCGACTTTGAGATGCGAGCTGAGGATCTTCCATGTCTTCATAGCAGGAACAGTTAGCACTTTTTTGGGTAATGAACAGGGAATGAAATGGATTTTGGCTTGAATGGGCTGAAGGACAGGCCCATTAGCTCACAGCTCTTCATCTAGCAAATCTTGTTAGGGGTCAGTGCCGAAAGTTAGGCAGCTTAGCTAGAAAGCTGGCAGCAATGAGCCATAGTCTAGCAGGATCATTTTGTCGCTCTGCCTCCAGGAACCAGAAGTAACTATAGCAAAAAGGCTCTGGCTTGGGAATCATGAGATATGAGTTTGCACAAATCAGATTCTCTGATATATTAGGTAGGTAACATTGGTCAAGATATTTCATCCATCCATTTTCTGAGATTTCACATTTCCCAGTCATAAGTGAGGGCTTGATCTAAATTAGCACTTCTCAACCCTGGCTGCCTATTCAAATCCCCCAGGTTGCTTTTTAAAAATATCAGTGCCTAGGCCTCATCTCCAGAAATGCTGATTTACATCGTTCATAGTACTGCCCAGTCATAGGTATTTTTCTTTTTTTCTCCCCCCTCCCCTGAAGAGCGGCACGTGGCCTCATGGCGGGGCCGACCCACCACTCACCGGAAGGCGAGGGGTTCTGCCCACACACGCTGCGGAGGCTACTGTGAGCTTTGGAGGGGCGGCGGCAAGGAGGTACGGTGCCCCAACGCTCCTTCTCAGATCGCTAGAGAAGGCTTTCCCACCCAGGGTGCGTCGTCCCCCAGTCCCCCACCCATCGTCTCCCCATCAGGCCCACGGACGCACTTCGGGAGATGCCAGTTCTCGGCTGGGGCGGGGGGGCGGTCTGTGGTTGGGTAAGCATGGGGTCAACATGAGCATTCATGGTCAGGGGAGGGCAACGCCTGCGAAGCCTCGGGCTCCTGCGTTTGCCTAACCAGGGGGCTTGCCTGAGCCCCCCTTCGCATCACCCGGCCCGTCACGATAGCTCACACTCCCGCGTGCAACCTCGGCGGCGAAGGGGGAACACACGGCCAAGTCAGTCCCCCTGCACGTATGAGGACGACCCCCACAAGGCACCTGACCCTACGAGGGACACCGGCATGCCTTCCTTATCACCTGGACTCCCCAAGAGAGCTGCTCACCAGACTCACCACTACAGGGGGAACCCGAGGGGCTCGCTGAGAACAGGAAGCGACGCCACCTCAGGGACACCTGGAGCCAGCCAGAGGCACAGCAGGGAGTAGGCGGGACGCTCACGCATCGACGGGGGCGCGTGGTGAGCTGTGGGACGCCTCGCGAGACTCTCTGAGAAGGCGAGGCTAGAGTGTCGGCTGCGTGAGGGGACCTGGTCCACCCGGCGACCGCCGTGAGGCGGGGGGCAGGAGACCAAGGTCCAGCGGGGATTCCGTACCTCTGCCTTACGCACACCACCAGCAGGCAGGGAGGAGAGGCAAGGGGCCGGGGCCGAACGAGAAGAGCGGTCCTGGTCGCCATGAACGTCCGTCCCTCGTCAGTCGCGACTTGGGCCCGGCAGAGAAGAGCTAGACATCATCTAGCATTGATACAGGTATTTTTCTTAAGTTCCCCAAATGATTCTGATTTAAGCCAGTATTAAGAACCATACATCTGGTGGGATGAATTGGGAGATTGGGATTGACATGTATACACTGATGTGTATACAATGGATGACTAATCAGAACCTGCTGTATAAAAAAATAAATAAAATAAAATTCAAAAATTAAAAATAAAAAACCATACATCTACGTAAAGTTTTCACACTTTAATGAATGTATGAATCACCTGGGGCTATTGATAAATTGCACATTCTGCCTCAGTAGATGGAAGCCTGAGGTTCTTCATTTCTAATGTGCTCCCAGGTGACCATCCCGCTGGTCCCAGGATCACACTTGGAGTGGCAGCCTGCTTCCTTACACTAGGACAGAGTTTGAAAACTGGTATACCAGAGGCCACAGGCTACAGAAAACCCACATTTTTCTTTTTTCTTTTCTTTTTCCCCCCCTGCACAGTGAATTTTTTTTTTAAACAGGAGAAAAACATAGATATTTTATTTAACGTACGTTTTATATAATGTGAAAGTCCACATGAGGAAATGAAGATCTAAAGAAGGGGAAAAACCTAAAGGATTTTATACTAAGTTGAACAAACACAAGCAACTGAGGACAAGTAACTAAAATATTGGGAGAGGCTAAAGGAATTTAAGAATTATTTTAACAAGCTATTGGGGGGTTTTTTTGGGTTTTTTTTTAAACATCTTTATTGGAGTATAATTGCTTTACAATGGTGCATTAGTTTCTGCTACCACACAGTGAATTTTTAAGGTTTAAATTGCTCTACATCATTTAGAAATCAGGATGTTTTACATAACCCAGATGTTTGGCTTTGCTTTGAAAACTGGAAGAACTATGGTCTGGGACCCTCATGATTATCTGGCAACAGTCAGCTGGGACTGAGCAGTCACTGCCACCACTATGGGGCATTTGTCCTCAGGCTATCACGGTCCCCAAACTGACAGCTCACGTATTTATACCCAGCCCTGGCAAACTTTGTGAGTCTGTCCCTGTTGTAAGGCTCCATGAGAAGAGACAATAGCCTGAGGACCATGAGGGCCTGTGGCATGAGCCTACCTTGAAGAAGGAAGTTCATGATGGTGACCCTGGTTTGGGGGAGAGAGTAGGGCGCACAGCTCTTAAAGGACACATGAGGTTTAGAGCAGAAAATCGCAGTTTTGCAGAATGTGATTTGTGGATAGTCTGCATCAGAATTATTTAGTTGCTTGTTTTTTCAAAGATACCTGCACCAAACAAATTTGGAGTAAAAATTAGAAGAGTATCTGCATGACTTGGGGTAGCCAGCAATTTCCTAAACAGAATGGAAAAAGTACTACCCACAAAAGAAATAATGGATAGATTGGAATACGGTAAGTGCCCTACATATGAACCTTCAAGTTGTGAACTTTCAAAGATGCGAACGTGCCCAGAGAAAGTACGAAGAGAGACAAGAGGAAGAAGAAGTAACTGAAGAACCGAAGAGTTTCACAATGCAGGAAATGGCAAGGGGCTTTTCTTTATTTGAGGAGGCACTGTTAGTTTTTGAGGCACAGAACCCGAACGTAGAACAGTACATGAGGGTTGCAGCAGCTGTTTAGAATGCAATCCAGTGGTACCGTGTCATCTAGGGTCAGAAAGAAAGAGCTACTGCCCAGACATCACTGGATCATTTTTTCAAGAGGGTAGATAGAATTGAACCCAGCAAGGAACCAGAAGCTGTACCATCAACGTCAGGTGTGAGTAAAATTGCAGCTTGCCTTCTGTCTCCTATTGATGATGATCCTTCAGCTCTACCATCTCCCACCTCCTCCCTCTCCTCCAGTCAGTAACTCTTCTTGCTTGTTCACTCGATGCCAGCCCCTGTATGCCAGCTGTTGTACTGGACTACTGTACTTTTCCAGGTACTGTACTGTAAGATTAAAAATGGTTTCTTTATTTTTTGTGTTTGTTTTTTATGTATTATTTTTGTGAAAAGTATTATTAACCTATAACAGTACAGTACTATATAGCTGATTGTGTTAGTTGGGTACCTAGGCTAACTTTGTTGGACTTACGAACAAATTACACTTACGAACTCGCTCTCAGGGCAGAACTCATTTGTATGTAGGGGACTTACTGTA